TCTTGAAGGACGCACCCAACAGCTGCATGAAAGCGTGGCCATGTTTGCTGAGGATATGGTGCGTCTGTGCCACCGCGCGGACCCCAACATGCCCGAGGCTCGAAAGCTAAGCCATCTCATGAGGGGCGTCAAAGAGCAGCTATTTGTTGGTCTTGTGCGCAATCCACCGACAACAGTGGACGAGTTCACCAGGGAGGCCACCGCAATAGAGCGTGCGCTGCAGCAGCGGTACCGACAGTCTGATCGCCCGGCCACCGGCGCAGCTGCAGGTGCCGCCGCACTTACCGCAAACGACGAGTTTTCTCTACGCCACCTGATTAGACAGATCGTGCGTGAGGAGATCGCGAAGGAGAATGCAAAATACACATTGCAGTCACAGGCACCCCCGCAGCAGGAGTCCACGGTAGCCTCCGTCGCTGAAGTCGTTCGCCATGAACTTCAACAAGCGTTTGCCTCTCCTCAGCAGTATTCCGCTCCACCGCACCGTCCAAACTCGTGCACCTATGCAGACGCTGTGCGTCGTCCGTTGGCTCCAGAAGTATCCTACCAGCCGAACGGATACAGCTATGCAGACGCTGTTCGTCGACCCACGCCCGTGCCAGCACCGCAGTACATCGAGCCGTATCCTAAGGCAGCCTGGGCTCAGCAGGATTCTGTCAGGCGACCCTATATGCGGAAGACCGACATATGGCGCACTGCGGATCGCCGACCACTCTGCTACAACTGTGGAGAGCCAGGGCACATTTACCGTTTTTGCCCACATCGCCGAGCTGAATACCGCGGTAGTGCACCTGCAGCTACGCGCCGACAGTTTGACGAAAGCCATGCCCACATCGACGACGACCAGGCTGGCAGGCGGGAAGGCTCTTCTACCTTCCGGACGCGCTCACCATCCCCGGCTCGCTTTGGTTCACCAAGCCGCCGTAGTTTTGCCGACGCCGTCAGAGGTCGGTCTCCCAGCCCACGGCGGGGAAACTGAAAGCAGCGACCTCTGGGGGGAAGGTTGCAAGCCGTCGAATGGCCGAAAATCCCCCACTGCTGCCGAAACATGTGAGAGATGACGATAAAGACTCCGCCGAGAAAACTGTGACTGCCGACCTCACTGTGACGATTGACAGCGTTGAAGTGACGGCCTTAGTCGATACGGGTGCAGACTTCTCCATAATGAGTGAACGATTGGCAGACGAACTTAAGAAAGTCAGGATGGAATGGACGGGCCCATATATCCGAAATGCTGGAGGCCAGATAATGACTCCCACCGGAAAATGTACAGCAAGACTCACACTTGAGAATGCTGCTTTTGTAGCCACATTTCTGATCCTACAGGAGTGCTGCAAACCTATGATACTGGGAATGGACTTCTTAAGAGAGTACGGTGCTGTGGTTAACATACGCGATGGTGTGATCACATTCGCCGCTGACAAGTTTGGGACCCAAGATCCAGACCAAGAACCCAGGGTGTTACGTGTGGTTGACGACGATGTCTGCGTGCCACCACTGTCTTGTAGCCTTGTTTCTGTCTGTTGTGACGTGGACTGTAATGAAGACGCCATAGCCGAACGCATCACTGCCCTTCTTTTTCGCCAAGGCATCGCCATCGCTCGCGGCATCGTCAGCTTAGTGGATGGGCGCGCAGAGGTGCTTCTGACCAACTTCACGAATGAGCGCCGGCACATCGGTAAAGGCACGGCTGTGGCGTACCTCGAAGAGCTCGACTACTCTCACGACTGTCTTCTAAAGCAAGGGGAAGCCACGGCTCAATCACCTCCACATACACCACCAGTTGATATCGGTCCGAGTCTAACACCGACTGAAAGATGCCGTCTTATGGAGCTGCTCGACCAGTTCAAGGACTGCTTCTCATCGACATCACGAGTGGGTCGAACGCCTCTGAGTAAGCATCGCATCACTACAGAAGACACAGCAAGACCGATCCGACAGAACCCATATCGCGTTGCTCAGAAAGAACGTGAGGTAATCCAGCAGCAAGTCAAGAAGATGCTAGAGGATGATGTAATCCAACCATCGAAGAGTCCTTGGGCATCGCCAGTGGTTCTCGTGAAAAAAAAAGATGGCAGCTTGCGTTTCTGCATCGGTTATCGTAAGCTGAACCATGTTACAAAAAGAGACGTTTATCCATTACCACGGATTGATGACTCTTTAGACAGGCTACGGCATGCGCGCTACTTCTCGTCAATGGACCTTAAAAGTGGATACTGGCAAATAGAAGTAGATGGGTGCGACCGAGAAAAGACCGCATTCGTGATGCCAGACGGGCTTTATGAATTCCAAGTCCTCCCTTTCGGTCTATGCTCAGCCCCAGCCACGTTTCAGAGACTAATGGATACCATTCTGTCCGGCCTGAAATGGAAAACATGCCTTGTGTACCTCGACGACGTGATCATTTTTTCGGCCACGTTTGAAGAGCATCTAAAGCGGCTACTGTCAGTCCTTCAAGACATACGGTCCGCTGGACTCACACTCAAACCGGAAAAATGCCACTTCGGCTTCGAAGAACTTCAGTTCCTGGGACACGTGATCAGTCGCGAAGGTGTGAAGCCTGACCCAGATAAAACGGCAGCCGTCGCAAAGTTCGCAAGGCCTGTTGATAAGAAAGCAGTCAGGCGTTTTCTGGGTCTCTGCGCCTACTACCGGCGATTTATAGCAGGCTTTGCACACATCGCCTCTCCACTCACCCGCCTTACAAGGGAAGACATTGCATTTGTATGGGGTGAAGAGCAAGAAGCTTCGTTTAACGAGCTGCGACAGCGTCTACAAACTCCACCTGTCCTCGCTCACTTCGACGAGAATGCACCAACGGCCATCCATACAGACGCCAGCAATGTGGGCCTAGGTGCTGTTCTTGTCCAATGCCAAGATGGTATGGAGAGAGTGTTCGCCTACGCTAGCAGAACGTTGACACGCGCCGAGTCTAACTACTCAACAACGGAGAAGGAGTGTCTGGCCGTCGTCTGGGCAGTTGCGAAGTTCCGCCCGTACTTATATGGCCGCGCCTTCCAAGTCGTAAGCGACCATCATTCTCTTTGTTGGTTGACCAACATGAAAGACCCATCTGGACGTTTAGCACGATGGAGCTTACGGCTCCAAGAGTACGACATGGCCGTAGTTTACAAGTCCGGAAGGCAACACTTAGACGCCGACTGTTTGTCAAGGTCTCCGATTGAATCACCGGCTGTAGAGGATGATGATTTCCCAGGTTTTTTAGGAGTTGTCGATGCAGCTATCATTTCTCGGCAATAACAAGATGATCGGGAGCTCAACTCGCTTATAGAATTCTTGAACGGACGGGCCACCAATGCACCAAGAGTGTTTTCGAAGAACTTATCGTCATTCTGTTTACGGGACGGAATTCTGTACAAAAAGAACTTTTCATCAACAGGTAGAAGCTATCTGCTGGTAGTTCCTGGAGCTCTCCGCAGCGAAATATTACAAGCCTGCCATGACGAAGCCACTGCGGGCCACCTCGGTTTCACAAGAACACTGACACGCATCAAAGAAAAATATTACTGGCCAAGAATCGCAGCAGAGGTTAAAAATTACGTCCGAACATGCATTGATTGTCAGCGGCGCAAGGTACCACCTGTCAAACCCGCTGGGCTATTACATCCTGTGCCCGTGCCAGAAACGCCGTTTTCTCAAATCGGAATGGATCTGCTGGGCCCATTCCCAACATCGAACAGCGGCAACAAATGGGTTATAGTAGCGACGGACCACCTCACCCGATACGTGGAGACCAAGGCAATCGCGAGTGGCACTGCAGCTGAAGCGGCCCAGTTCTTCATTGAGAACATTGTCCTGAGACATGGTGCTCCAGCTGTCGTCATAACAGGCAAAGGCACCGCGTTTACAGCCAAGCTTTTGCGCACTGTGCTTACGCTCAGTGGCACAGCGCATAGGAAGACGACTGCTTACCACCCACAAACAAATGGGCTCACAGAACGACTTAACAGGACAATCGCTGACATGCTTTGCATGTACGTCGACGTGGAACACAAGAATTGGGACCGAATATTGCCGTACATCACATTCGCGTATAATACGGCGCGCCAGGAAACAACAAAAATGACGCTGTTCGCACTAATTCATGGCAGAGAAGTTACGACAATGCTTGACGCCATGCTGCCTTACGATTGCAATGATTCAGAGACAGACGCCGCAGACTTCACTGAGCGCGCCGAGGAAGCAAGGCAGCTTGCCCGCGTCAGAATAATGAACCAGCAGCAACTTGACGCCCAACGGTACAACCTTCGCCATCGATTCGTCATATATCAACCAGGAGATAGAGTCTGGGTTTGGTTTCCTGTACGACGAAGAGGCCTCTCAGAGAAACTCCTACGCCGATACTTCGGACCCCACAAGGTTTTGCGCCGTCTTAGCGACGTGACTTACGAAGTCGTGCTCGACGCCTCCTCCTGTTCGAAACGTCGCCAGCATCTGCCTGAGACAGTGCACGTGGTCCGCATGAAACTTTACCACTCTCAGTGATGTAAACACCCGCTGGCTGCATCTCTACCTGTTGAGCATCGGGACGATGCTCACTCTGGCGGGAGGGTAATGCCGCGTGCATAGCTGCATTTAGCGGCGAGATAACAACGACAACGAAGAAGGCGGTTTTTCTCGAGAGGCGCAGCGCAGGCAAGTGAAGAAGACGACAATCCTAGCGGCCTTCTCTGAGAGCGTCTCTATAAGTTCCACTGTCCGTGTTTTTAAATAAACCCCCTGTAATTTACAACCCTCGACAATATATATATATATATATATATATATATATATATATATATATATATATATATATATATATATATATATATATATATACATATATATATATATATATATATATGTGTGTGTGTGTGTGTGTGTGTGTGTGTGTGTGTGTGTGTGTGTGTGTGTGTGTGTGTGTGTGTGTGTGTGTGTGTGTGTGTGTGTGTGTGTGTGTGTGTGTGTGTGTGTGTGTAAAGAGATACAACGAGGCTCACCTCAGCGGGCACTGGCGGCTTGAAGCGCAGCTCTCCCACGGGTGGCTGCGCGTACGGAATGCCCCGGTACTCCTCGATCATGGTTCCCAGCACCTGTATCCAGCGGCCGCCCACGGGGCCCGTCTTGGTGGGACGTTCGACGTCATACGCCAAGGAGGAGAACAGTGTCTTCAGGATCAGACCGAGCACCACGGGCCCGTTCATGGCTGTTCCTATTAGAAGCAAGACATTTCAATTATTCGATCAATCATTGAGTTTTTATTTTCGTCCTTATTTTACAAAAATAAAACAAAAAAAAGCTGACGAGAGCTGCTTCGTTGCAGGTTGACAGAGCTTCTGCCACTCGTACATAGGCAACATACAGGAAATGGCAAATTTACTTTCAAAGACCAAGCATGTCAAATTCAATCGAGATGCCAAATTTATTGCCGAATGTATACCTCATCTACAACTCTCTCGTTGAAACAGTATCGCCCTTTAAATACTTAGGTGTCATCCTGCATTAAATTCGTAAATGGAACAATCAAGTAGAATTGATTGCCAGCAAAGAATTTCGTAAACTTGGCATTTTGAAAGGCGGCTTACGTCTGGCTACTTCAGCCACTAAACATCAGGCATTAAATTCGCTCAATAAACTATCCTTAAGCTGTGCTTCTAACATATGGCATTCGCATCAAACATACCTTTCTGGCATGCTAGAGTCAATGCAAAGTTAAGCTGCTAGGTTCATTGCTTCCTCATATTCACGTTTTCAGAGTGTATCATTAATAAAACGGATTCTTCGTTTATTACCGCTCGTTACACGCAGACAATATTCCCCATCATTTTTCTTTCACAGCATATAGAGATCACAAGGTACCTCCTTAATTTGCTCACAAGTGAAATATTTACGCTCTCCTTTGATTTCATCAATAAAGGCGTGGAACGCCCTTCCTCGTACTATCGCGAACTATAAAGAATTGACTGGTTTCCAATCAGCCCTACTATCTTACCGAAATGAGCAGTCCTGGCATACTGGCTGCATTGTCGGATTCCAAGTTCGCGTTTATTCTATGTATAACTTTTTGCTAGACTGTTCTCTGTCATATATTCATTGATCACATATTGTACTCTATTCGACTTTGTATTACAAAACCGTGTTTGCCTTTTTTATATAATGTTTGCATTCTGTTAGCTTGGTAATGCATTTTTCTTTTTGCATGCTTATTTTTTGATTAGGTTTTGTTCATTCGCTGTACTATGTATTGTATCTCCCCCATATGTGACAGCCGTTCTCCGGTCGTTATGGTCAATAAATCAAATGAAGTGAAAAACATAAGCCACAAATAAACACAGAATAAAGTATTTATCTGCTACTTGCAGTTCAAAGGCCCTCAAAAAATGTTTATACCACAATATGAGATCAAGGATTAAATACAAACAGTGCGAACAATAAATACGAACGCTGATTAAAATTCATCGCGACATGTGTTCACTAATTACTATAAGTTTTAGTACACCTTTAGCGGTAATCAGACATATTGTAAATGAATGAAGAAAATTTATTTAGGTTGCAGAGTTTTCTTTTTCATGCCACGCAGATGTGGAGTATTTCTTGTCTTGTCACTGTTAATATAGGTACGTCTCGTGCATAGTGTCTATTTAATATAGGTGGCATTGACAATAAAGTGTGGTTGACATAGCTTGCAGCGTTTATCGTTCCGCTACAGTGACAATTGGTCGTGGAAGACTGCCAATTACATTTGAACTATGTGGATTCCTCAATGGCCCAGTAATTTTAAGCTTTCGTCTTCGTACCGATTCCGCCCCGTCACAATCAATGGCATATCCAGAAGGGCAGGGAAAGGGTGAGGTAAGGGTTGTGAACGCTAAGCCGGTAACTGGTTCAGAAGAACACAGCCAGAAGCCATCGTCACCATGATAGAAATGGTATACTTCTTCTTCGCCTTCCCTGGCTGGCAGCGTTTATTTATATTTGATCTTTTCGGCATCCTGCCCTGCTCCCCAGAAGTAGCAGGCCTTTCAAAAACATGCAGAGCACGAGCACGCCTTCACGGCTGGTTTTGAGCGTAAGTCCACACAGATCCACTAGGACCATTATAAACAAGCCATACTCGAGCCAGAGGAATCATGAAGCAAAATCCTCTTGCCATCTACCACTAACTTTCGTAGTAACTTGGAGAGTACCGATGTGGAGGCCTTAATCACAGGAAGTACAGGGGAGGTGGGGGGGGGGGTGAATAGTTTATAGGCCACGCTCTCATATGAACTCGTAGGATAGTGGCCTGGGAGCATTTGACCCTCATTACATTCCATCCCCCTTTTTTTCAACGGTGATACGGTAGGCTCTCACGGTAGCATAGGTTCCCGAGAGAATCATTCCTGGTAGCATGTGTTAAGTTTATATGTCATAATGCTGGGGTCGGGTGAGAAGGGACCGAATTCCCGATGTGTAGGCACGCAGGACATAGTGGAGAAAGGCTGCATATCGACGAGGGGCTTGTCTTCCATTTCTGAAAGTTCGATCTGAAGTTTCCCACATTTGATTTCTTGTTACACGCTACAATTCCTTCGCCAAAAGTGTCGGCTCGCTACCGCAAGTCGTCGACAGAGAAACTCTGCTTCGATGTTCGGGCAGTTCTTCGCTTACGCTGGTGTGTATTCCGTAAAGGAATTTTCGTCTACCGCATACGCGAGGTGTCCGACTGCCAAATACTGTTTATGCACACGCGTATTTAACCCCCGCCGTGGTTGTCTAGTGGCTAAGGTACTCGGCTGCTGACCCGCAGGTCGCGGGATCGAATCCCGGCTGCGGCGGCTGCATTTTGCGATGGAGGCGGAAATGTTGTGGGCCCGTGTGCTCAGATTTGGGTGCACGTTAAAGAACACCAGGTGGTCGAAATTTCCGGAGCCCTCCACTACGGCGTCCCTCATAATCATATGGTGGTTTTGGGACGTTAGTCCCCACATATCAATCAATCAATAAAAAAAGACGTTGTCGTTGACGCAAGCGGCACGCATGTCACTCGCCGCTCGATTAGGTCGTTGCGGTCGTCTGTCCACGGTGGTAGTACTCAGTGTCGGCCGCCTGACTGCTTAATTGTCTGTTTACACAGTCGAAAGTTTCGGTCAGAGACTTTGGCAAGAGTCAGTTGTGCAGATAAAGTAATAATTCGGGAAATACTGTAGGATCTCTAAAGCGGGTTGCCCAGCTGTAATTACTCGCAAGATGCTGATCCCATGAGTTGCACAGCCTAAGAGTTCTCTTGGCAGACTGGTCTTTATAGAGTCAGGCCGAATATTATGTGTTAACTGCCACCAAAACAGGAACGCCTGGGCATGGGCTAACTTCGCCGGTAATTACTCGCCACAGATGATTACATCCCATAAGCAAGCCGGTCTCAGAAACCAATGTGTCCTCAGACGAGTAATAATTTGCCAGCCGCTTGTCTTGTGTTCTCAGTGATTGAATAAAACTGTTCTCAGATGATAGCATAATTATACCTTGGCAAATGATTGGAACTACTACAGCTTCTCAACAGTAGTCAGCTTTGTAGGGTCTCTTTTCAATCTGTACTTCAACGACGTTGCTGTTTTCTGCATCAGAACACGTGCTCCCGAAGGTGTTTAGCGCTAGACGTGAATTGCAGACCACACTCAAGTGGAGTTTGCGCACGATGTGTCCTTAAATAAAAATCTTCTGGCCGAAAGAAGCTCGTAGCACGAAAAGAGGCAGAATTGCTGATAAACAATGTGAGCAAGTTGACGGCGCATGAATGGAGCCTTTAGCTTGTAATTGGCCTCAGTGCTTGTGTTCACTGCAAATACCAGAGAAAGCTGATACTCAACCAGCTTTCTAGAAGACGATGTCAGAAGATATTTACGAAACAAAGTCCTCGAAATATACGGCGTTACTTCCGGAGAACGAAAGCCAGGCTTAGCAGCACAAAAATTAGATTGAGTCAAATAAAAGCAAAAAAAAAAGTAAGCAGTGATCTGAAAAAGCAGTAGCTGAAAGAATTAAAGGCCTTCCTGAGAAGCAGCAAGCAGCTGTCAAGGCATGATTTGAAGCAGCTCATAGAAATTCAAGAAAAGAAATGCGGTATGCAAATGAATCGCTTCTTGAATGTGTGCTGATGCGCATGCGAAGCCCGAAGTTCTACGAACACACGAGAAAGCACAAAATTGTGGCTTTACCACACCGCAATTGTCTAAAAAGAGCAATTCAGCATTTCCAAAGCGGCTTTGGCTTCAACCTAAACGTTTTCACAGCTCTGCAAAAAAAAAAAAACGAAGGACATGGACGATCACAGCTGGCATGGCATGATGGTATTCGACGAAATCAAGCTGTATGAACATATTGATGTCAAAGCTTTCTGGGTAAGTGCAAGTAATTTGTCCTATTATTTTTATTGCGATAGTTCATGTGCTATATGAATTACCGTATGTGCTGTTACACTAAGCATGTTCATCTTCCCCACGCATATTTACCTCTTTCAGGCTGCATATAATGATTTGTTCATGAGGGTAAATTCCAGACTGAAGACTCCGGAAAAGAACTTGCAGATCATGGTTTAGTCGTAGTATTTCTGCCTTTCACAGGTACGGAATCAGGTAAAAGTTGTAACATAATGGCTGTCTTTAAAGGGGCTCTGAAACACTTTTTCAAGTAACCATGGAATGAATTCACTGGAAGAGCTTATTACCTCACGAATTCAACGCCGCAAAAACTTAAAGAAACTATCCACTGTAAGTGGAGTTACAAAAATTTGTCGCACGCTGCAATTACATTCTCTCTCTTCTCGTCCTATCAAAAGCGCTGGAAGCTAAGCAGAGAGGGCTGGCAGGGCCACAGAAAAACTCCACGTGCACCTCGTGACCTTGAGCACTTTTTCTTTTTTTTTCAGCTTGATTGCGCACACACGCGTAGACAAGTAGCGGCCTCTCGCGCCCATCTCTCTAACGAGCGAGCGCGCCATGTTCAAATCAGCCAATGGCTAATAGATGTGCTTACTACGTGTGATTTTTGGGCATATTGCGTGATTTGTCGAGGAAAGAGAAAGCAATTTTCTGCTGACTTTGATAATTTATTGTGAATTCCAGGCCACGTGCTGCGCTATACTGTTTGGCTCGCGTATTGTCGGGAGCCTTTACTACCGATCGGCAGCGTTTTCTGACCATGCTCAAAAAATGTTGCGGGGCCCCTTTATAT